GGGAACCCTCCTATACTGTTGGTGGGAATGCAAGCTGGTGCAGCCACTCTGGAAAACAGTATGGAGGTTCCTCAAAAAGTGGAAATAGAACTACCCTATGACCCAGCAATTGCACTACTGTGTATTTACCCCAAAGACACAAATGCAGTGATCTAAAGGGGTAAATGCACCCCAATGTTTATAGCAGCAATGTCCACAATACCCAAACTATGGAAAGAGCCAAGATATCCATCAACAGATGAATGGATAAACAAGATGTGATACATATATACATATGTATCTATATATACACACAATGGAATATTTTTTTAAATTAATTATTTTTAAAGATTTTTTATTTATTTGAGAGAGAGAGAGAGAGAGGAAATGAGAGAGAGAGCACATGAGAAGGGGGAGGATCACAGGGAGAAGCAGACTCCCTGCCGAGCAGGGAGCCTGATGTGGGACTTGATCCAGGGACTCCAGGATCATGACCTGAGCCGAAGGCAGTCGCTCAACCAACTGAGCCACCCAGGCACCCCCACACACAATGGAATATTATGCAGCCATCAAAAAACCCGAAATATTGCCATTTGCAACGACATGGAAGGAACTAGAGGGTATTATGCTTGCAAAATAAGTCAATCAGAGAAAGACAAGTATCATATGATCTCACTGATATGAGGAATTTGAGAAACAAGACAGAGGATCACAGGGGAAGGGAGGGAAAAATGAAACAAGATGAAACCAGAGAGGGAGACAAACCATAAGAGACTCTTAATCTCAGGAAGCAAACTGAGGGTTGCTGGAGTGGTGGGAGTGGGAGAGATGGGGGGGAGCTGGGTGATGGACACTGGGGAGGGTATGTGCTATGGTGAGCACTGTGAATTGTGTAAGACTGATGAATCACAGACCTGTACCTCTGAAACAAATAATACATTATAGGTTAAAAAAAAAAAATAGTAGGAAGGGAAAAATGAAGGGGGGCAAATCGGATGGGGAGATGAATCATGAGAGACTATGGACTCTGAGAAACAAACTGAGGGTTTTAGAGGGGAGAGGGGTGGGGGTATGGGTTAGTCCGGTGATGGGTATTAAAGAGGGCACGTTCTGCATGGAGCACTGGGTGTTATACGCAAACAATGAATCATGGAACAGTATATCAAAAACTAATGATATAATGTATGGTAACTAACATAACATAATAAAATAAAATTAAAAAAATAAAACATATACTCAGTTTTTTATTTGATTTCAATTCCTCTGTGTAAAATAGCAGCCATTCTAAGTACTTTGAATAAATTTCAAATAGATTCTAACCATTAACTGTTAGAGTGTTTACTTCATGCAGCTCAGATAAGCACTGGATGTAATAAAAGTAAAATAAGACAACTCTTGCCCTCAAGAAGTTTATAGTCTACTGGGGTAGACAAAGCTGCCAATAAATAACTACAGTTTGATACGGTAAGTGTGATAATGGAGATGTGGGAAGGAAAGCAGGATGACTGAAGATGAGGCTGGAAAAGTAGATTTGAATCTTAAATGCCATGTGGAGAATTTAGATCTCATTATATAAGCATGAGAGTGACACTGAAGATTTGACGTGAGGACGCACGAACCCATTTGTGTTTTGGAATATGGACTAAAGGAGGGAAAAATCAAGAGTCAGTGCGATCACTAGGAAGGTTTTGCAATCATGCAGGCTGGAATTCATTTCTGCTAAACAATGATTAATATTGACAAAGTGCCAAGACAGGGTCAGGCAGACAAAACCAAACATGTCAGACTTTTGGTCCCCAAGAACACAGTTTGGAGGATGGGGGACACAAGTAATTAATTCAGCAGTAATGGTGAGGGTTAGAAATAGAATAGAGGCTAAAGAGATGAAGAACAAATTCAAAAGATGATTTCAGGCACAGAAAAATAAGGCTTAGTATCTCATCAGATTCAGGATGTGAGGGCAAGATAGGAATCAAGGATGCTTCCTAGGTTTCTAGCTAAGGCTTGACGTTATTTACTGAAAGAGCAAATATAAGAATGAGGATTTGAGACCACCTGCTACCCCACTCCTTCTAGAGACATCACAAATTAGTTAATAAGGTCTCCATAGGAAGTACATTATAAATCCAAAGTAGCATTCCTATGATTATCATCTAGTGAGCATGCATTTGCAGAGAAAAAAGTTAACTGTCCGAATATTACAATATGGACACATAGGTTAATACTGTCAGAAAAAAACCACCTCCATGACAAAAATTTCCTGTAAATACTGTCAGTTAATAAACTATATGTGTTATCTTACTGCCTCTGACTAAAAACAGCAAAAGAAAAAATACCAATAATACATCGCCAAGTGTGATTTACTATCTGTTCTTAATTTACTGTTACTTAACATACTATCTTGTATTTACTATCTGTTCTTAATTTTAGAAGATAATATGATATCCCAGTTACAGTTCAAATGTATGCAAAGCAGTGTCGTGCAAGATCAGGGACTTTTCTGGAGAGGGATGGAGCCTCAGGAAGTCTGGCAGCACAGATCTCAGGTAAGGTACTGTACCTGCTTGCACACCACTCAGTGACATTGGAGTAGAAATGTTCAGTCCCAGGACATTAAGCACACAGACTGATATTTTAATTAGACCAAGAGTGAAACCTCTTAAAAAAAGTTTTCAAGAAATTAATGATTTTACAGGGAAAGACATTCTTGAGAACCTAAGTAACTGTTTAACAAAAAATAGAATATACTTTTAGTATCACTATTTCCACCCAAAATTTGTATCACACTTTGCAGGCTTTGAAAAGAATTCGGATAAAGTTACAGAATGATACATAAGTTATTAAGGGGATTTTTAATGATAACCTTACCTTATAAGAATGATATAAAAATCAACCATTAGTTCTCCCATTGACTGCTACAGATTAATAAGAATACTTGTCAGCTATGAGCCAAGGTGAGTAATTTTTTTGTTACAGATGCTTCAAATTCACTGCTGCTCAATACTTCCGTTGAAAACAAACTGGAACATAAAATTATGCTTTATAGCACTTACTCAATTCAATCCAATAAGTCATTTAAACATTGGTCCTTGATTAATGATTTCCTCACACGGGTAAGCACATGGGAAAAGAAGACTTATATATTACTGATAGGTGTGTATGCTGACACCTTTCAAAGGGAAAATCTGACATCTATCAAAATTTTAAACCTGTGTTACCTTTGACCCATCAATTCCTCAAGAAACCCACACTAAGAGGGGGAAGGACATGTATATAAAGTTGTTCACTAAGCCCGCTACATGTTCATTAACAGAGGAATGGTTAAAGTTATGGCACATTCATATTATGGAATACAACTGGCACAGTCCTTAAAAAGAATGAAGCAACAAATATACTGACATGGAAGGGTGTCTATAATAGATGACTGGGAGAAAGGAGGTTGTAGATCTTTGAGCTTACAGAGAATGATCCCTTTTTATTTTTCAAATTCGAAACAATACAGGTGTGTGTCACGTAGGAATATGTGAGAAAGAACACACAACGAACTTTTAAGAGTTGTTACTTTGGGAATGAACTGTGGTGGAGGAATTTTCATTTAACTTAAATGCACTGGCTTCAAATATTTATTATGAAAACTTTTTATAATAACTAAAGATATTTAAAAGTTCTACAATGTTTTTGAAAGGAATTCCCAATTTTCTTTTTTATGAGTTAATCTGTGAGATAAATTCATCAAAGATTTCATCTTTAAATGTTACACAGGTAGCCAGCCCTCTGGAACTTTGAGAATCTGGAAAACCTTACTAGTATCTTACCATCAGGTAAGAGCCCCCAAATGAACTGCTTGGGGTGTGGGTATGGATTTCTTTGGTAGAGGTATTAAAATAATTAATTTCAGATGGGCACTGGGAAGAAATTGCACTTTATCTCTGTGCTGCTGAATAAAAACTCAAGACTAAATGTCAATTTAATCGTGAAAACAAAAACAAAGTAACCCCAAAAAATATCAAACAAGGACCGAAAACCTTTGAGTCCCAAACCATGTCCAATAAAAAAAGACAACTTGTGCTAAATTACACATCAAGACAAAAAAGAAGGGAGGCGGACGGGGATAGATGCCCTAAAGGTAAAAGAATAGGGCGAGAAATCCTCAAGACAATCCCCCTGACAGCCTCCCAAAGTTTAGTTTTTTTGATCTCTACAGTGGATCACAGAGCAACTTAAAAGACAAGTAGAGCCAAAGTAGTTCCGATGATTTTCATAACCACCTTCAAATTTTCTCTGAAGCCAAGAATGCAGAACATCACTTCTTTTTCTCTTTAAGAACTCAGCCAGGGTCTACGTACAATCCTGGAGATTGCCTCGGGCGATCAGAGAGGCTGTGAGAGGCACATTTTCCCTTCAGAGGCCGCTCCAGCCAGCAATTGAGCAAATCCGTGGAGTGGAGGGAAGTGACCAGTCTTCAACTGGAAATCCTCCCGAACACAAATAAAACATATCTCCCGAGGCCAACCGAGGCGGAGGCAGGGTACTGGAGAGGAGAGAGCTGCTCATCCCGGAGTTACAATCACACATGAGCGAACATGACTTGACACACACCCACCCCGCAGCGAGCGCAAAGCTGGGAGCTCCAAACGGAAGACAAACGCTCAGGGAGCTTCCTTGGCTGCGGGGAAGGCCATTCTATCCCATTTTCTCTTTCCTCCCCAGAGAGCCTCCACCAAGTAGCCGCCTCCGACCTCACCCCGCCAGGCTGGGCCCGCCCCTGGCCCCCTCGCGCCCAGGTGGCTTTAGAGCTGGCAGGCTCCTGGGGCTTGCCTGGCGGTCAGCTGCATTCCTCGTCGGAGAGAAAGGGAGACAAACCATTTACACTTCAGTGGCACCGTACTCACCCTCATAACTGACACCACCGGCTTCGCTGTGGTTGCCCTCACAGTCTTCCTCGCCTCCGGCCGCAGCCCCCTGGGTCTCGGGAGCAGCCATTACGCGGCGGAGGAGAAAAGGGAGGGCAGGCAGGCGGGTCCGGAACCAATGGAAACGCGACTGGAGGCAAACTCCCCATCAACGCGGTGTTTCCTCCACGTCCACGCCTCCCCATCACGTTCTGGGCCAATAGGACGTGGAGAGCGGAGCCTAATCCCCGCCCCTAGCCGCTAATGCCACGCCCCCTTTCGGGATGGCGAGGCCCAGAACTACAATTCCCAGCGTGCTGCAGGGACCCTGGGACAGGGAGGGCTGGAAGAGGCGCTGGCGGGCGGGGGTGCGCCGGAGAGTATCCTGGCGTGTAGCTTAGTTCAGTGAATCAGAACAATGACTGCGCCGCCGGGTCCCCGGGAGCGCGTCGGAGGACTGTGAGCAGCCGCAGCCGGGAGAGCGGCGGGCGGCGCAGCCTCAGCCGCGCGGTGTCAACGCCGGGCTCGGGAGCTTCCAGCGCAGACCTTGCCTAGCGCCCACAGCTCGCGCGGAGCCGCCGGGCTCCAGCGTTGCAGCCGCTACTCGGGAGCTGTGCATTGTTGTGAGCCGGAGAAGGTGCGGGGATTACAAAGCCCGAAGACCCCGGATCCCCCTTTAGCCATGTGGATACCTACGGAGCACGAGAAATACGGCGTGGGTGAGTCTCCGCGGGGCGAACTTTTATTCCTCTCTGGCCCGAGCGGGTGCGCATTTCGCGTCCTTGCCCCTGCGCCCCTTTCGCTCCGCCAGGCTGGAAATGCCTAGTCCTGGCATAGCGCTGCGGGTTTGGGGCTTTGCCGAGCCTGCTCCCGGCAGAGGGGTGTGCGCCGGGGTCTCGCCCCTCGCCGCCCCTTCGGCGCTTCCCGCACGGGCTCCCGGAGCGCCGGGACGGCTGGAGGAGCGCTCGGCCAGCCCTCCCCCTGCGGGCTCTGCCTGCGGAGTTGGAGTGGCGACGGGGCGTGTGCGAGTCAAGTTGGAAGAGGAGGGCGAACGGCGTTCCTCTCCCTCCTTCCCCAAAGAGGGAAATGGGCTGAACGATTCCCCGGGGTAGAGAGGGAGACAACAACTACTGCGCAGAGAGAAGACCCCCAAAACAGAAGGGAGGCGCAAAACCTTTTCTCCGGGTCCCTTCGGCATTCCCGGAGTGCGGAATGTGGCACCGTCCTCAAAAGAGCGGTGCTGACAGACCGAGCCCGACCCCAGCTTCCTTCCTCCTTCCTATCCCGGGTTCCTGGGGTGTGAGTGTTGAGGGGCTGGGGGATTGGTAAATTTCAACATCTGCGTCTCTTTGGTCTTTGGAGGGGAACGGGTATTTCAGCAATGTTTTTACTTCTGGCCACCCTCTCGGCCCGGGGTAAGCGCGTTGGGGGTTGGTGGAGGACAGCTGTGGAGTGATAATGGGGAGGGGGAAATCGGAAAACCTGGGTCTTCGAGGCGAGGAGACAGCTTTTAGGAAAGGACTACTCTGACACTGGCGTTCGGAGGAAAAGGAACAGGGTAGCGCTCGCTGTTCCGTGCAAAGGTGAACAACAAAGGACATTAATGTTGACTGATGAATACAGGAGTCTCCCTTCCTTTCCCTCCTCCCATTTCAGGCTGACTACAGTTCCCGTTTTTGTTGTTTGATTTCAGCTGGGTCTCCCCTTGACAGTTACTCCTTTTAGGGTTATGGCTATTAAGAAGCCAGGCTCTCCGACGAGCCTGCCGCAGCCAAATGCAATTATAACCTCTCAGAAGGTTTAACAGGGTGAAAGCATTTTGGATTTTACTAACAATCTTTATTTCCTATAATGCCCCATCCTGCTGATTGGTGTACTTTTTTTTTGTTAATTGGGTACAGAGCTAGTGATTTAGACAATGTGTAGGTATCTGCTTACGTTCTAAATTAATTTTTCTGTAATTTAAAAAATCTGGAAAGCCTTTCCAGGGAATCGTAGTCATAGGGGATTTTTTTTTTTTTTTTAACTTCCCATGGGGATAGGACTTTGGAGTCCACTGAAAGGACTGTATGATTAAACAAAGTCATTCCGATATTTTCATTAGCTTTCATTCTGATTGTGACCGTTCGGTGAGACAATAGTTTGTCCTAGACCCACCTTTGGGAAGGGGTTCCAGCCTTCCCTCTCTTTCAAGTGTGGGGGGGGAACCTTTGCAAGACACTGTACTGGCAAAGTGTAGATGGTGGTTATTATTTTCCTTCTGACCCCCTCCTCCCACCCCCTTTTTGGGTAGATTAACCCTTGCTAGGAAAAGATACTGCCTTTGCTGAAATGGTGAGGAACTGGAGCGTCCCCCTTGTCGCTCACTGGGTTTAACACTCCGTGCAAGAAGCATGGATCCATCCAGCAACACTGTCCCGCTTGGAGGCGATCCCGGATGTTGCTTTCTTCCAAGTGTTAAATTATACAGATTATGGATGGGATTTTTTTTCTTGATTTCTTTACATGCCAGGTCACAGCTGGGTGCTGGTATTGATTAGTTTTTCTCTTGCCTTTCTTTATAAGCCTTGGCCAGAGGCTTAAAACACACTCTGGGATTTCCTGGAATGGCAAACCGGATATTATCGGTTAAGTGTTTTGGGTTACAGCAGACACCTTGCTTTTGGGTGGTTGTGATTTGGTTGCAGAGTAGGGGGAGGTAGAAGGGTGAGCACAGCGTTGGGAAAAGGAGGTTGAGATGAGAAGTGAGGGCAGAGAGGGGTCTGCTCATTTATACAATATCACACATACAGGAATGTTAATCATCTTTTGTTAATTTTTGAGCATTTGGCTTATGGAATGCTTAGCTGTTTTTTAGAATCCATCCGTTAGGCGTGTGCATTTGTGTGTGTGTGTGTGTGTGTGTGTGTGTGTCTGGTGAAAATTTTGCTATGATACTTAAGTGTGGACTTTATTTCTTACCATGGAGAGCACTATTTTGTTTATGCTGCAAGTTTTTTTTTTTTTTTTTAACCTTCATTAGTACATGTGCTTTTCTCATCTAGTTCTTATAAATACTAAGGAAAAGATAATTTATGGGCAAAAATGTTTGGTTGTTATCAGGTGTAGTAGTAATTCAGTTCCTCATTCTTTGAAATAAATTAGTCTTTAACTTGGAATAACTGAAGTTTTAGTGCAAGTTGTATATTTTTCCAATGATACTTCTTACTCACATCAATTATATATGAGATAATTATGTGACTTTATATATTTATGTTTCTGTTTCAAACAACATATTGTTAATATGGATAAACTTACTTAAATTTCATAGCTGTGGTAAGGTGTATCAGAGATAGGGGCGCCTGGGTGGCTCAGATGGTTGGGCGTCTGCCTTCGGCTCAGGTCATGATGCCAGGGTTCTGGGATCGAGTCCCGCGTCAGGCTCCCTGCTCCTTGGGAGCCTGCTTCTCCCTCTGACTCTCTCTCTTTCTCTGTCTCTCATGAATAAATAAATAAAATCTTAAACAAAAAAAATGATGTATCAGAGATAGAAATTCCTTTTCAAACCTGACATGTGGGCACTCTTCAATTGATGGGTGGTCTTAAAACAATGTATACTTATATACCTAAGTGTACTGATTCTAGGGAGTTAGAAGGCATAGTGATAAAGCTATAGTCCTGAAGGATAGGGGACCTTGTCTCTTTAAAACTGTATTAGTAGCGGGGCGCCTGGTCGTTAAGCGTCTGCCTTCGGCTCAGGTCATGGTCCCAGGGTTCTGGGCTCTCTGCTCGGGCGGTAAGCCTGCTTCTCCCTCTCCCACTCCCCCTGGTTGTGTTCCCTCTCTCGCTGTGTCTCTCTCTGTCAAATAAATAAAATCTTAAAAAAAAAAAAAACTTAAAAAAAAAACTGTATTAATAGCCACAATGATAGACATATTTTTCTTGGGAAATTCTGGTTAGCTCTTGGTCCTAGGCTAGACGCTGCTGCCAGCTGTGTGACCTTAGGTAAGTCACTTAACCTTTCTGAGTGCCAGCCTTTTGGACAAATGGTATCCGAGGTCCTTCCCAGTATTAGTTCTTGAGACCTCTTCCAAACAAATGTGTCCTTTGGTTAGAAAAATATCTCCATGGTGTAGAGATTGTTATAAGAAAGACACTTTTGTTGTGACACAGCCCACATAGTTTTTTAACGAAGATCAAAGGTAAGCAAAAGCTACCTGGCAGGCTGCCAGAACCCAGGTGATAGTTACTCATTTTTCAATCTGTTTGATTCTCTCTCTCTAGGAGGAGCTCCATGGGCAGTGACAAAAGCATTCTCGATAGCCCCCTCACAAATTTCCTTATGATCACTATCTGCTTCCTGCGTGCCCTCATCAGTCATACCTCCTCTCCCTTAAAGGGATGGGAATTAGTCACAGAGAAAATTACATTACGACCATTGCAGTTACATTTCTGTATTCATTTGTTAAGTATCCATGTATGCACAGGTTTCCCAGGTGAGCCAGCATGTCTTACTGAGCTGCAAACTGCACCTCTCAACCCCAGCCAGATGTTTAACATGTGTGAGCCTGGTTAAGCTTAGAAGGAGATTATGTGCTGGATTGATCAGTACAAAAAATTCCTGAGCCTGACAAGAAACAAAACTCAGAAGGAGCTGATCTGAAGGTTACGAGTGTCATTTTAAAAATGAAGTATTTAGGGGTGCCTGGGTGGCTCAGATGGTTAGGCATCTGCCTTCAGCTCACGTCATGATCCCAGGGTCCTGGGATTGAGCCCTACGTCTGGCTCCCTGCTCAGCGGGGGAGGCTGCTTCTTCCTCTCCCTCTCCTGTTCCCCCTGCTTGTGCTTTCTCACTCTCTCTGTCAAATAAATAAAATCTTTAAAAATAAATAAAAATAAAATAAATTTAAAAATGAAGTGTTTAGTACTTGTATCACTGACTCCTCAAAACTATTCCTGTCCTCCATTTCAAGTAGGAATCCCATTCCTTTTTTTTTTTTTTAAGATTTTATTGATTTATTTGACAGAGAGAGCACAAGCAGAGGGAGCTGCAGAAGGAGAGGGAGAAGCAGGCTCCCCGCCGAGCAGGGAGTCGGATGTGGGGCTCAATCCCAGGACCCTGGGATCACAACCTGAGCTAAAAGTCAGAAGCTTAACCGCTGAGCCACCCAGGCGCCCCGGAATCCCATTCCTTTTTAAAGCTTCCTCTATTTTAGGGGAAGAGGTACCTTCTCTTATTATACAGGATCTTTAGGATATCTTTTCCTTGAAAAAGGGTGCTTTAATGGTAGCTTGTGTGGGAGAGTTAAGAGCAAGTGTGCCTTAGCCTTAGCTGTTTTCAGTTTCTTAGCTACTAGTGTCTTAAAATGTTTCCTATTTGTGGTACCATGATGTGTCTAGATAACATGTATAGCTAAATAATAATGCGCTGCCTGAAATTATTTGTGGCATTTAGAGCCTGGCACAGGATTCTACACTTTAAATGGGAAGCAAAAAGGAGGGATTTATATCTCCAGGCAAAGTACCATTGAAGGGCTCAGCAGACAGCAGGATGGCAGCTGATGTTCTTGAGCTGGTCTCCTGTGGGAATAGCCTATAAACATGTTTCCCTCTTTTGGCCATTCTACTAAGTGAGGATTCTTTCACGAGGCCCTAGAAACACAGAGATGCTGTCTTTCCTCTTTAGTTTTGTTTTGTTTTTTTCATTTTTTCCTGGAGGCAGTATGGTAGGTACTGTGAA